TCGGGCATTTGGTGTCACTCTTTCCACGAAACTTAGCAGAAGAGTAGCAATATGTCCATAAAACTCACCCAGAGAGTGCCAGGTGTACCGAGGTGCCCATAACTTCGAGGTCCGGATAAGAGAGATGTGAGTGAACAATGAATCTCGAGCACTAGTAGTTTACGCCTCGCTCACATGTTACCGGCCACACAGGCCAGATGAATGGCAGCGTGGTTCTTCTCGTTGCGCTGGTTTATTAAGACCAGCTTCTCGTCGCTACGGAGACCGTCGTCCTCCAGGAGTTGCCGCGCCATGGCGATATCGCCACCCTGGGCTGCAATGCACAATGATGGTGATTGCTATACGAGCATACAACACACACGCACATGTTGAACACACAGAAACTACATGTTCAAGAGATCTGATTCAGCACTTCATTCCAGGTAAAAAAAGAAAAAGAAAAAAGTGCATATACAGAGCATACATGCATGCATGCATGCGCACACGCCTGTGACACAAACCCGACGGCATCTTGTAGAACCTCTTTGGCCGAAGGTTGGATAGATGATGCCTCTGTTCGACCTGAGCAGGGTTTCCCAATGTCAGCTTTTCCATTTTATAGGCAAATACATACTGTGGCACGTGAAAGACACGCCCATAGCTTAGACCCTTTAAGAGAACTGTCCCCGGCACAGAGCATTGCGAATAGCACTGGAAAACAAAAGCCCAGATGGTACGAAGACTGCTCAAAACATTTCCCGCGTACCGCGTTCTTCAGCAAGTTGCACATCTCGGCAGTGTCGCTCAGGTTTAGCGCAGTGAAACCAAGCGAATCGCGTATGTCTTCTTTGGCACCGGCTTCGAGCAGGCACTGAGCAACTTCAACACAGCCGGAAAGGGCAGCATAGTGCAAGGCAGTTCGTTGCTGTGACCCACCCTTGATGTTAGCAGTGGCCTGCAACACAAAAAATAATGAACAGTGTCAATAAAATTTGTATTGTATTTAAAAATTAAAATAATTTAATACCGTATTTTCCGGAGTATAAGCCGAACTGGAACACAAGCCGCACCCCCATTTTTCCCCACCCACTACAGACATCTACCCTATTTATGACCGTTAATTTGATCATAAGAGTATAAGCCGCAACTCCCCCCCCCCTTTTTTCGGTGAATTTTGAGTGTTCAAAGTGCGCTCATACTGTACTCCGAAAAATTCGGCACATTCACGGTTTGCGCGAGACTTGGTTGCGCGGAGTTTTCCGGATCCGCAGGAACGCCACCACACCGTCCAGGATCAAGGCGCAGAGGCAGCTCGTAAAGCGGTGTCACGAAGTATGCGTGAAACTAGGCCAGCCAAGCTATAAGCCCACTGCACATAACCAGTTCAGCATTAGGGGTACTACAACCACATTGCACTCATTTGCCCATCCAGTGTAAACTATTATTTTATCAGTGCTATATTCTCCCTATATTCGACTATTGCGATACCGCTTGGTGTGGCCTTTCTGACACAACTCTGAACCAATTAGAAGTCCACCATAGATTTATACTTAAAATTCTTTACAACAAGGATCGATGTTTTCCTTCGGATGCCCTTTATCGACTTGCACACACTTCTCCTCTCTCCGTTCGTCATAAGCACCATCTCTGTACACTGGTTCATAAAATATTTCTTCATAAAACCCCTTCACACATGATGAAGTACAATTGGTTTTCGACAAGCTCAACCCGTAACGCGCTCATCCTGCCTCTTGTTAAGTCAGCCCAGTATCTAAAGTCCCCTTTGTTTTCCGGCTACTCTCATTGGTTATCATTACCATACGGTCTGAAAACTTGTTCTTCTATTGGTCAGTTTAAAGATCTACTATCACAACTGAACTAGACGCAATAATTATCATCGAAGAACATTCTCGAATACCTGGGTGATGCACGAATTTTGATAGTGCTCACTTCCGTTAATCGTTTTTCTTTGTAATTTTCCATTCATTTTCTGCTCTAATTCATATTTGCTTTGTTTTCCTAGCTTACTATTGCCGTGGCTGGCTCAACGCCCTTGTCTCCGGGGATTCTGTCCCTGCATTAGCTATGCTTGTCACATGCTATGAGATTGTGTCTAATAATAATAATAACATTGCCAAATATGGCAGGTATGAGTAACACAAAAAAGAAGCGACCCCGTCCATCGCAAAGTGCTATAACACAAATGAGAAGTGACCCCGTCCACCGCGAAGAGCGCTTGACAATGCGGTCGTGAACCCAGCAGCACATGCAGCGCCTAACGGTGGGGGCAAAGTGATCAGTCTCACAACCACTGGCACAAGTGGAAAAAAACACTAGCCGCAACCATGTACCCCTTGTGCCTGGCCACAAGTTCCCAGTTGACTGTGGGTAGCAGCATGGCTGCATCTGCTGCTGGTTTAACCGGGTGTTAGCGGCCGTCATGAGTTCCCTTCGGGAACGGACATGATAATTTACTTTTTTTATCGGAGCTGGTACACACAAAGGAAGCTGTTGGTAGGAAACAAGTACGTACCTACTCAGAGTTTCTTGAATCAATCAATCCACAGGCACCATAACAAACAAGCAACACACAAGTTATGTTTCCTTGGCGGGGATCCAACCGCTTCCCTTGCGTGATAGATCATACACGCATAGATCTACGCAAGCTGCACACATCATGTACGCATACAAGTGTATATACATTTTCGCATTCGTGAAGCCTGCAGCGAAGCTTGCTTTGTGTTTCCAGCTGGAACTCCCCCCTCCCTCGAACTTTCAGTATGTCCCAAATTCTGGTCATGCCCATTCTACCATCACTTACACCAGCATCGAGTAGTAACTTTACCACTTCTGCATGACCAGACATACACGCAAAGTGCAGTGAGTTCTTATTCCTGGACAGCAACAGAAGTAACAGCATTAGCCGGAAGATCGAAAATGCACAGTTAACCCAGAGCAAAATTACAGCCGCCGAAGTCCATTTTCAACACTAAGAAGCCACAACTGCAAGAGAAAAAGGACTTTTAACTTAAGCATGGTGGCTCATCACCCACGTCAGCATAATGCCACTTAGAGGCAAAACAACAGACCCAAATTCCTTATTCAATGCTATCGACTGACTATCGACTGCTTATCGATATGCCCTTGTGTGCATGAACACAAACACTGCATACTTAGTAGGTTACTACATACACACACATACATGCACATGCACCTCCGGGCATTTGTAATAATAGATTCTAGATGTTAACATACTTTGGAAATTGTATTTTTCATTGCTATCAGATTTCTCCGCGCGAAGCTGATGAGTTCACAAAGAACGAAACAGCATGCTGTCCGCAAATCGAGTAGGTGTTAACATATATGCGAGGTGATAAGATTTTTTGAACTTTTTTCCCTCGGTCGGCTCCACCTTATTGACTCAGTTGTTTCACTCCTAAATTTCACCCCCCCCCCCCCCCCCCACACACACACACACGCAAAGGTAGGCTTACCCAAGTCCAATGCCATTGGGCGGCGTGTTGCAGGCCAGAAGGCGGCGGACCTCGTCTACATCACCGACCTCGGCAGCAGAGCATAGCAGAGGTACATTCAGAAGAAGCTGCCTGGACGTCAACAGAACACGGCAATACCATCCAGTCAGGTACCATAAGGAGTACATAACCCTCAAGAGTGCTCAACTCCAGCTATGGGGTCTGCGACGGCAGAACTTCACATCACATGTGGTGAACCCGTACACATTATTTACACTCTGTGCATGATAGATATTGTACGCGACCCAGCTTTGGGTTCAACTCTCTTGGTCGTTGCGCTGTTTTCCAGCGTAACCTTTCGAACCATGTCATGTGATGTGAAGGTATGCCGCCGGCGAGCCGCAGCACTGCATAGAGGTTGTGCAGGCAGTTGCACACTCTTGGGGGTTATGCACTCTTGGTACCAGGGAGTCATAAAATACCGGTATTTTACGACTCCCTGCTTGGTACATTGTATAGAAAGTCTCTTTTACGGGCAAAATAAACACATGAATGGCGGGCAGCACAAACATTGGTAAAAACAAAGAATCATCGGAAAGAAACGCAAACCCAGTAAAATAATGGATATAGAACCCTTTTCTACAAATCTTCACTAGTTCGAGGGAAAGACCCAAGCTAAAAAATAAATAAATAAAAAATAAAAAAGATAGAACCCCAAAGCAAAAGTAATGTACGATGGAGACTAGCTCAACGCCGTCAGTGTCTAGCTGCTGTCAGGTCAGATGGCAACTGCGTTGCCATCACTTATACCGCTCAGAATACAAGCCTTTCCAGTCCGGTTGGTGAGGTCATCACCGGACCACCATCGTTAGTTACTGCTCAAGGGGTCATGCTTATCCTCTATATTATACAGAAAGTATGAAAGGCTATGGTAGAGCCGGACCAATCGAAAGCTGCTTCCGGCGGGCCTGGAAAACAGTTGTTACCAATGCCTACAACCATGCTTGTCCTCCGACAATCGTATCACAGTACATGCAGGGTTCTAGCCAAATTGTTTTTGCAAAGCGTTCCTGTGGCGGCGCAACTCCTGCTGCCGCTCCAACAGGAAACAGTGGGTGTGATGAAGTCGCTGTTATTCCAGTTGAACTTTCGGAGCGGACTGACAGTCACACTCCGCCAGACGTGGAAGCACCTTGTTGTGAACTACCCCGTCTGCACTGCCCAACATGCAACACTCACAGCCCACTCGACATTGGACGAATTACTTGCTTTTGCACAAGAATAACTAAAACTAAAAGAGCGAGAGAAAAAGGATCAAGGCTCACGCACCAAGATGACACGGACAAAATGGCGACCTACGTCATCGTGTGCACGCACAATAATACGGAAAAGGAAGAACGTCACGAACACAGCGTGAATAAATAATAAGAAGTAACACGTTAGTTCAACAGTAATAATACGTGGTAGTGATCAACAGTAAATACGTTAGATATCACGAAATAATAGAGATAGAGAGAGAGAGAGATGAGGTGGCGTCAACAGTTACTAGTCAATCTATTACAACCTGTTGTCAGCGAGCAGCCAGAACATGAAGAACAGCGCACAGTGACGAGTGGACATAGTACCGCTGCCTATGTAAAGGATGCTTTGAGCGGTGAGAAATTGTTGGACCCGCATAAATTGCAGTTGATTCGCTCACATAACGGCAAATTGAAGTTTACAATGTACAATGTTTCTGCGTGTACAGAAATACTGCTCGTGGTGTGTGAGATTTACGGCTCCTTGACATCGGTTTTCAAAATTGCTGACCTGGGACAGTAGCATGATGTCATCTACCCCCACCCCATTCCCGCCGCAACCTCCCCCCCCCCCCCCCCCTCAGCCAAATCCTGGACACGCCACTTCTGGGATCCAACTGCAGTTACCCCTGCCCCCAGTGAGGGTAATACTTGGTACTAGTGTGGGTGGCTAAATCAGAGTGGATCTGGTAATTATAAGCTTCACTAGCACCAGTGATTACAAAGAGTTAATCTAGCCAGAAGTAGTCCATGGTTAACAGTTATGAATACTTCAAATAGAAAGTATATGAACCCTGAAACCAACAAAGACTTAGCACAGACCTCATCTTGTGCGACTTGGCGTATTCGGGTGAGCACGTGTCCACAGTCCTTGCTCCATTCTGCGTGTACAGGCAAGGCAACGGCCACAATACAAACAAGCATGAACAATGTGCAGAGGACACACGCACAGCCACCACGTGTCAATTCCGTACTCACTCGATTAGAGGCCCCTCTTGAATAATAGCCCCCCCCCCCCTACAATAACCGTTAGAAAAATACAAGCCCCTCTCGAATAGAAGCCCGAACTACTATTAATTTTGCAAAGGATGGGGTGAGCAGGTAGTGCCATATATGTGTTAGGTACCTCCTCCCGTACCTTTTCTAGCTCGCCTGCATGCACTCGCGTACTCACCTTTTGTATCCTTTTGTTCAGTTGGCCTGGGTAGCTACTTGCGCGCCCATAATTGCCATAGCTACCCAGGCCCTTTATCTTGCCGCTCAGACTTGATCTCTTTCTCTCTTTCTCACTCTTCAATGTGGTCGTTTCGTTCGTCTTGGTCTCTTGTCTCGTCGTCTATAATAAATGTCGTTCCCACTAACTTGTTCCCGTTGTCCGTTGTAATGTCTGGAGAATATGTCGTCAGTTGTCCTTTTTCGTACTCAACATTGGCGCCCGACTATTGATCGACCCACGATCCTGAGATCATCCCATGCCCAGTCGTCCTCAACCGCAATTCATCTCGTCAACCTCGTCTCGTCGTCAATAATCCTCGTCTCGTCTCGTCTATGTCAACCCCGTCTCGTCTATGTCAACCCCGTCTCGTCTATGTCAACCCCGTCTCGTCCATGTCAACCTCTAATAAATGTCGTTCCCACTAACTTGTTCCCGTTGTCCGTTGTAATGTCTGGAGAGTATGTCGTCAGTTGTCCTTTTTCGTACTCAACATATGGTAAGGTCAGGGGCATACAAAACACATCGTGCATGTGCATGCATGCATATACCTGTACACGTCCAGGTCAACGCAGCGTATGCAACCTAACTCGGTGCTGAGTTGCTTTGAATATGAACGCTTTAGGGATTCTATTGGAATGCTGGTATGGATTGAAATAAAACAAGCCACTCTCGAATAGAAGCCTCCTCAAAATAATTGGCAATGAAAAAAGCCCCGGCTTCTAATCGAGTGAGTACAGGTAATTGACTTGTAAAGCCAATTTAAGCCATACCGCCATGTGCACAAGAGTTCAAGTACATGTACGGTGGATGTCACAGTGTCACATCATTACGGTGACGTGTGGGGCAACAAATGAAAACTGCACTCGGGCAGCACCGGCTCGGGAATCTGCACGAACAGCGCCAGAAGTGAGTGCAGATATCGTCCGATACTAGTCGGGTGCAATTTGTCATTCATCTCATGTGCATAGGCACGAAAACACTTGGTCTACGCTAAAGACATAACAGTGTGCAAGTACCTTCAACAGCAGTTGGGCAATTGCCACGCAGTCGTGCCGCACCGCAGTCCTTAGAGGTGAACCACACATCTTCCAGACACAACAAGAGGGAATAAGGCGAGGGGAGAGAAAAATGGAAAGAAGGGGGGGGGGGGTAATTACACAATCACATTACACAATTTTGAACAACATACCTGTGAACAGCACCCAGTATTACCCCATTCCATCTCCTTGACCCGGTTGAAATCGTACATCATCATTGCAGCCGGCGCCAGAACATGTCCTGGAGAGTACGCCATATGAAGTGCTGCTGGCGATGGCTGACTTGAGGGGCTAACGTGTTCCTAGCCTAACCTTCATACAATGAAATCATCCTCTCTCTCTCTGTGTTAAAGATCAAGCGGTGTCCAGGTGGCAGAGGCATCAGTTAGATCTACGATACTTTATAGCTATGGTTAAATAGCATTCGGGGGCTTCAGAATTTAAGTTACTTTTCTGTATAGTGGTTTTACACCTATCACATGACCATACAGGACAGCCATGTTGGTTCCAACTCCACTCAACCCTCGCCTCTATTGGTCACATCAAGAGTACATAAACCAGAGTGTGCCACTGTGCATATCTGATCTGAAACAGCGCAGTTCCTGCACTACGTCTGCCTGATGAGGTCAGCCACCCCGCGACTTGCGTACAGATCAAATTTTCGTGCTTCACAGACCGCAAATCAGCCAAGTTTGCATGATTTTAGACATCCTGTTTCAGGATGTTGGTGTTTTTGTGTGACTGTGTACACTGCGTACATCCGCTGACAAGTAAATTCACCAGGCTATCTGTATAAAAAAAACCGAAATCAGGACAAACTCAGTGACCTGCACCGCCGTGACTGGTTACGCAACTTTTTACCGTACCTGTGGCTTACCATGCCGTCAGAAATGAAGTACTGCACGGATTACGCTCCCACAGGAACCATCCTGAGTTGCACACTCTGGTTGATGTACTCTTGGTCACATAATGTCAGCCATGTTGATTCCACTGTCCACATGACATGATTACTACACAAACTGGTCACATGACATGATTACTACACAAACTGGTCACATGACATGATTACTACACAAACTGGTCACATGGCATGATTACTACACAAACTGATCACATGACATGATTACTACACAAACTGGTCGCATGACATGATTACTACATAAACTGGTCACATGACATGATTACTACACAAACTGGTCACATGACATGATTACTACACAAGCTGGTCACATGACATGATTACTACACAACTGGTCACATGACATGATTACTACACAAGCTGGTCACATGACATGATTACTACACAAACTGGTCACATGACATGATTACTACACAAACTGGTCACATGACATGATTACTACACAAACTGGTCACATGACATGATTACTACACAAGATGGTCACATGACATGATTACTACATAAACTGGTCACATGACATGATTACTACACAAACTGGTCACATGACATGATTACTACACAAGCTGGTCACATGACATGATTACTACACAACTGGTCACATGACATGATTACTACACAAGCTGGTCACATGACATGATTACTACACAAACTGGTCACATGACATGATTACTACACAAACTGGTCACATGACATGATTACTACACAAACTGGTCACACGACATGATTGCTACACAAACTGGTCACATGACATGATTACTACACAAACTGGTCACATGACATGATTACTACACAAACTGGTCACATGACATGATTACTACACAAACTGGTCATATGACAAAGACGCAAAACCACTCTATCGTTCTCGACCATTTCACACGTAAAAGCGTTCAGGCTTGCGCGTGTTCGCTTTCTGCAGGTGCTGTCCAACACGCTTTCTCCAATTCATTTCTTGGTGCGAATCGTTGGAAACGTTCTTCCAATGCAGCAGAGCATCTGGTGAAAGGAGAACGATCGATCGCGCGCACGTCTTCGCTCTCCTTATTTTCATTTTCTGGCGCACTTTTCGTCGCACGCCTTGAGAATTTCGAGCGGGTCCGTACGATACGGTAGCATCCGCACAAATGTGCAGTGCATGCTGCAAACACTCAAATAGTTTGCAACTCGGCTCGAATGAAATCAGTTGAATTTATTTTCATTCAAGCGAGCCCGCCTGCTGAATTTGCATCAAGATAACACTCAGACCTAAGGTTTTTGTATTTTTTATTTCATGGATTCTCCACAGGCCTTTAATAGCCGAAATCGAGGGAGTCTCCGTATTGACACGTGGATTTATCAGGCAGTCTTTTGCTTGGATGCCTCCACACGGAGCTCGAATCTTCTCCTGTGTCAAGCTCCGTGCGAAGACACCCAACAGCAAGACTTCCTGATGAGACCAGCCGAGACAGCAAAAGAAAACGTACATCACAATCGTGCCAAGTCATTGCTGTGTCGACTTCTGTGCGCCAAGCGCTACCCGAGAGAACGCGGGCGTGCGTGTGTGCAGGAATGTATTTACTCACCATTTTGCCAGGTATGTCTTTACCACCATACGATTCAATCATGAGCATAGCTGCCGTGGTGCCGTGTTCAGCTTGATTCACACCTAGGACCTTGGGGAGGGTAGATCTACCCTGTACAAAGCCTAAGAGGCCTGTACGTACAACGTAACATCCTTACTGAAATTAGACATTCTGCTAGGCTGTGTTGTTTAGCGGTTGCATGCTGTTTTCAGACTTTGTCCACAGTGGAATTTGAAGTGGTAGTAAATTAGTAATTTCCCACTCACCCTCCGCCCATCCTTCTTACCTTTATCCCCTCCGACAGCAGTAGAGAAACAATCTCCAAATTGGACTGGCCTACAGCAATTTCCAGCAATCCAAGTAGAGTGCATTCCCGAGCCATGAGATACTCCCTCGCAAGTCTAAAGGATAAAGCAGAAAAAAAGAAGGTGCTGATGACCGTCGTCATGACAAAGATTTCGACCCCTTTTCAGTATCGATTTTCAGTATCGTAAACTGCCTAATCGTCGTGACGCAGACATGTTCACGTTTCTCACACAAAGGCAAAAATCATAAAATCACAAACGATCAGACAGCCCGAATTCCAATTTATTAGTTTCTGAAGCAAGCGATACTAGTATACAGAGTCTGGATCGCTAGAATCGTGAAAAATATTCCGGTACGCTGCGAACTGCTCCGCTTGTCTGGATCGCGAAAACTTCGTGTCGAGATCAGTAGCCTGTCTACTGTACTGTGTTTCCTGTGGCGTCTTTGAAGAGAAAACATGGAAAATGCTCTCGACAGTTCATGAGAAATGTATGTGATAAGTAGTAGTCACCGATTGTACTGGATAGCGTTTCACAACTAATAGATTTCCCCGGTTACAAGTCGCACCCCACGTTCAGGTTTGAGCCATATTGTTTCAATGTATACTCACACAAGCAGACGGTCATACTCGATTGCAAGTCGCATCCCCTTCTTTGCCAGAGAAGTTCAGGGTACAAAGTTGAGACCTATAGTCGGAGAATTACGGTACTGCTCCCTTAGCAACTTGCTGACTGTATTTCATCCCTAGGAGACACACCCGGCGCGTACACTGTGCATCATAGGGTACAGTGAAAAATCAACATGCATCGCAGTTTTCTGCGACACATACCTGAAGTTGCTTCGCAGCTCAGAAGTGTAGCAAACTGCGATGCGATGCCGGTTAAATTACTCCCTGCAAGCGTACGTGCTTTGAAGCATAGCTACAGCGTGGCAGACAAGGCACACACCTATTCTCGGCATGTTGGTCCAACGGCCTATTGCGCTTCAACAGTCCGCGTGGAAACAGGTTACCATACTGTTGCTGTTGCCATGCTGACTCGCCGTCATCTTCCACGAATGACGGGCATCGCTGCATCTCCCTGATGTCCAGGTCAAGACGCCGAGCGGGGGACTCGGCGGACGTTTCTTGCAGCAATGCCAATGGACATGACGAGCCCGCACCTTGGAGCAAGAAGCAACGCACACACGGAACAGGAAACACACAGCTAAGCAAGTGTGTGTGTGTGTGAGAGAGAGAGAGAGAGAGAGCGAGAGAGAGAGCGAGAGAGAGAGAGAGAGAGCACAGAGGTACCGAGTGCAAGCCGCTCGGCTGTCCGTCACAGTAACACCACCTGCGGAACCTTGCACACAGCTCCCAGCTAGCCTGCACTCTGCAACTTCAGTCGGCATGCATCCACAAACCAGCACAGGTACTGTAGCGTTGGGACGCTGGGGACTTCAAAGCGTATAGCGTTTAGAGTATAGCATATCCCCATACTGTATCCCCATACGTTAGCGTATCCCCGTACATTAGCGTACGGGGTCTGCCCTTGTATCAAAGCTGCTGCTCACGATTCTTTTATAGCCAGTTAGTTCATTTAGTTGCCGATCAGTTAATTTCGTTGCCAGTACATTTCAATTGCCAGTTACAGTGTGTTCACTGAGACCCTTGTATTTTTGCCTCCGAGAGACTGCGGCCCGCTACAGTACTGTAAGATATGCTATTATAGCACATATGAGGCATCACAGCCTCAACAGAACTTATTATTATTATTTTCCCGTTTGTCTCTTTCCCTCAAAACCAGTCAATATTATTATTATTATTATTCTCGTATCCGTCCCGAATGGGACTCACGACGGCAGAATTAACTGTGAGCATGTGTGTGTGAGAGTGGGAGAACGAAATGAAAAAAAAAAGAGTCTTGTAGTAAAGGTCAAATTTAAGAAGAGCAGTACTAGACTAAATGGCTGAGCAGATGTTACTCCATTGTTTTCTGTCGCGGGCATAGGTGCCGAGATCACGAAGGCAGCTGGGCTTAAAAATGCAGATAGGTGCGAGGCGGACGTCTCGCTGGAGACTTGTGGTGAGGCAAGAGCGGGGTGCACCTATTCGAAAGAAATGAAATGTAACTCATTAAAACGTTACTGTAAAGCCACAAACTTAACCGGCGCGCAAATTTAGCGTTTTCATAAATTGGGCTGATTCACGATGAGAAACCTTTGCGATTCTATCTCTTCAGTCGGATCTTGTACTGTCTACAATCAATGTACAGAGAGGTTTGCGGCGATTTATATCCGCGAATGTGTGGTGGTCGCAAAAAGGGACATTTAAGCTCCGGTGAAATTTTCTCAATTTACAGTAGATTTGCTTCCTCGTTGTATTTGTATGTCTTGCATTGCCTGAACACAGTCATACTACATACTGGACATACACATCGAACAGCGGATAGCTTGCGTTCGGAATGAATTCCATATGATTTCGTACGGCATGCCCAGCACCTCACACTCAGTCCATCCTGAAGCGTGCAAAAAGCAGATCTCTCCCACTAATCAAGACTCACACGGATGCGTTTCGGCCCAAATAAGGGCCCGGTGATGGAAAGAAAATAACTGTCAACTGCGTACAGAACTGAACGAATTTGATGAAAAGTGTGGAACCACCTTTAACACGCAAAATTTCGAAATATATAAATTTTGGGCAATGGGGTCGTATGTGGTATCAAGAGGAAGAAGCGAGTGTTATTAGGAAACATACATTTAAATTTGCTTGCAAATGCCCGATTTGCACCGGAAGAAACTACGTACCATCATTGGTATCACGTACCCACAACGAATCTCGAACACAACGCTGTATGCCAGAACCGAGCAGACCCCACTATCCCAAGTCTGCAGGCAACGGAGACTGCTGTGGTTCGGCCATGTAGTGAGGGAAGGCAAAGAATCGTACTCTTTCCAAGCCCTCCTAATGTCAATCAACACAACAGACATACGACGACCCCGAGGACGACCACGTCTGAGATGGATCGACGTTGTCAAGAAAGACTTACAATGCAATAATCTGTCGCTTCTGGATGCTGTGCAATCTGCTTCTGATAGAGCTGCTTGGCTCGACATTGTTAACAGATTATTATTATTTAAATTTGAGAGACAAAATTGTTGATGAGGATGAGCAAGATAGCCAAGAAGAAGATGATCACGTTTTTGATGCCAGCGCTAGCTCATGTGAACTTGACAGACCGATTCTGGATAGTGATAGCAGTGACGAGGAGACTGGAGATGTGAGCAGTGATGACGACGGCGGTGATTTCGCTGATGCTGCTGTTGACAAAAGAACTTAACGTGACGCTGTTGGGAGTAGACTAATCGACTTACCATCCCTCCAGAAGCTGCTGACTTCCTCCTGTGTTTGTGCCCGTTGTAAATCTGGCCGCATGGTTCCAAGTGAGGAGGATAGTCATGGACTTGCACCAGCGATTGAACTGGAGTGCACTGAGTGCGGATCAATATCTTCAGAAGTGCTGGCTGAGAAGCAAGTCACTGGGAAAAGCCGCTTCTACAATGTGAACCGAAAGGCAGTTTTGGCCATGAGAATGATTGGACGTGGCTATCAAGGCCTGAAGACCTTGTGCTCCATCCTTGACTTACCACAACCAATGTCAAAACGCTCCTTTGACGGCCATAGGAAAACCATCTTTCGTGCTTCCAAAACTGTTGCAGAGCAGAGCATGTGCAAAGCATCGGAAACCGTCCTTGGCCAGCAGCATGCGGAGGAATTCCCCGACCGTGTCGCTGTATCAACAGATGGTACATGGATGTGGTGAGGCCATTCATCATCGCACGGTGTACAGACGGTAATCTCGTATGAAACAAGGCAGATATTGGACGTGGAAACACTTTCCAAGCATTGCAGTCAATGCACAGCGTGGAGTGCAAGGAAGTCTAGCGACTTGGTCTCTCTCTCGAGGAGTATGAAGAATGGCCTGTAGGGCACGTAGCCACACGCTCTATAAACACACAGGCATCATCACCAGCCATGGAGACGGAAGCAGCAGTGAAGCTGTGGAAGCGCTCTGAGGAGACGAACGGCTTGAAGTATGTGTACTACATCGGCGACGGAGACCGCAAGGGGTTCGACGCAGTCACTGCGGACAAACCGTACGGAGACATTGCCGTGGAGAAAGAGGAATGCATTGGCCATGTCCAGAAGAGGCTCGGCAAGGCATTGAGAGACCTGAAGAAGAAGCAGGGCAAGGACAAGTTGAGTGATGGGAAGCCACTCTGTGGAAAAGGTCGCCTGACCGAAAAGTACATGGATCGATTACAGAACTATTATGGCATGGCGGTTCCTAGCAACGTCGGTGACCTGCAAGGAATGGCCAAGGCTATATAGGCTTCCCTTTGCCACTGTTGTTCCACGGATTCCAAGCCAAGACACGAGTTTTGTCCAACTGGAAAGGACTCCTGGTGCCAATGGCAAAGGAAAGCTGCTTGTGTTGATGTGGTGGTCAAGCACAAGGATCCGTTACCTGATGCTGTGATGAAAGTGATCAAGCCGATCTATGTGCATCTGTCCGATATTGGCCTGCTCAAGCGATGCCTAAGGGGGGGGGGGCACCCAGAACGTGAATGAGTGCTACAACGGTACCCTGTCGAGAATCTGTCCCAAGGAGTCATTCAATGGTGCTGAGACTGTCGCAACCTGCGTTTACTTGTCCACCGCCGTGTTCAATGATGGAGCGGAGAGCCTCCTGTCCATCCTTGATGCCATGCATTGCCCATACAGCAGCTTCACCGTGTCCGGCTTGAGAGCTGTCGATGACCAAAGGCTGTACCACACCAAGAGGAAGTCCTCTTTCGAGGAGAAGTCAGCAAGGAAGGAAGCTGAGACGGGCCAGAAAAAGGGCCTTGCTGACACCACAGCTGAGAAAGAAGGCGACACTTATGTTGCTGGTGGATTTGGACCTTCATTTTTGTGCTTTTTTGGCACTATGCCGTAATCCGTTTCCATCATATTTTTGTCATTTCTCGCCAGAAGTAGACAATCAATACCATTATTCGCATCGACGTTTTCCTGGCTAAACAAGCTAAACCTCTAAAACATACACAATTGACACAATTGGGCAATGTATTTGGACGCTCTTGCGTGGCACGGTTATTGCGCATCTGGCGCAGCGTTGCACTCCTTGACATATTTGTATTTTGTATTTGGAGGACTCCGCTCTTTGTATTTTGTATTTGTATAATATACAAGTGCAAAATACAAATATTATATGGATTCTCCACAGGCCTTAGCCTAAATCGAGGGAGTCTCCGTCAACAGCTTATGAAGAAGAAGCCGAGGAGAAAAATAGAAATAGGAAATAGAATGATGCGGGGTGGACCCCAACGGCTGGAATATCAAACAATTTTTTTTGGTTTGCGTTCTAGAGTGACTGCTATAGTATTGATAAAAACTGGTTCTCTGGGATTGTAGCCACATTTTCTTGCTCATTTTCCGGAAAAGGAACATTGTTCGCAAATTATGTGATTTTGGCATTTCTCTGACCAGCTTTGTTATGCTGTTTTGCAGATATATCTTTTGAATGTTACTTCGAAGTATTTTTCTCAGCGTCAGGCTGCCACCTTAGACGAGCAACCGTTTTTGGACAATGTTTGTGAATTTTTGAGCTTGCTATGGTGTGTGTCGGCAAGGGAATTTTTGTTATGGCGATCAGAAAACATTTTACATATCGAAATCAGTGGTGACTTTTGAGATTGAAATGTTCAAAGTTCAAAAACAAATTGTCCATGCCGAAATGAAGCTGGAGCACCATCGAGTTTGTAACAAACAAACTTCCGGAATTGTACGCAATATGTCATGCCAACAAGCCCACCATAATAATTATGTTTAACAGAAACCTGGCTAAGCCCGTCACTTTTATTCAGTGTTCCAGGCTACACATGCTTCCTTAAAGACAGATCTACACATAAGAACCTGAGATGAAACCTACGTGGCTATGGTGGCATGGCCATTCTCATACGTGATGGGACATTCATCACATTTCACCCGTCGCCATGACCTTGATTCTCCCCAAAGCGAGGCCTTATGGATTGAGCTTGGTGCACCTGCAGGTCTCCGGGCCAATCCGCTACTCATTTGCTGGCATTACCCCCCCCCCCCCCTTCACAATCTCTTCTTGATATCACCTCCTTTTGCGACATACTTACCGACACGCTGTGTTCCTTGCACCTCTCTTTATTTGATATTTTTCTTACCGGTGACTACAATGCCCACAATTCTGACTGGTGGAGTGGTGACACCACATCGCGTGCTGGTACGGAGCTATCACACGTGTTCTCCGGCTTTGGCCTTCAGCAGCTTGTCAATTTCCCCACCCGTGTTGCTCCGAATGGAAGACTGTCCTGTCTGGACTTGCTTGCTACGAACCGCCCCCTCTCTGTACGCTATGTTGACGATGCTGCCCCGCTTGCTGCATCGGATCATTTGCAAGTCATTACAATGCTAGCCTACAACATTGCCACTGCTTACACCTCTTACAACTGCTCTCAGACTCCTACCCCTCCGCGACATGCCTTCCGCAAGGTTACACCCTCCACTTGGTCAATCATCAACTCTGCACTTTTTGCCTGTGACTGGCATCTTTTATTCACCTCCACTACTGTTGATGAAGCTGTGGAGAAGTTCACCACAGTTCTTGATGACGTGCTCTCCTTCTATGTGCCACAATACGGAGCAAGACCCGCTACACCCAAACATGGCAGCCACCACCCTCGTCAGTCCAGCCGTAACCCCAAGATCCCTTGGCTCGACAAAGATCTCCAAAGTGCAATTAAACTCAAATGCGACTACTACAGCTTAAGTAAGAAGTACTCCACCTATGCTAATATTTCTTTATACAAAAAAAAACAGCACAATCTGGTGAAGTCATTGTCACGTTCTAAGTATTGAGCATATTTACGTTCGCTCACTACCACCCTATCTCACCCCTCTTCCAGGCCTAACCTGTATACCTTTGTTCGCACTCAAAGGACAACTAGTACACGTCAAGACATACCTCCGTTATTAGCTTCCAATGGTTCGATGGTGACTGACCCCAAGTCTGTAGCTAATACTCTCAATACGCAATTCACATCAGCTGGTATTCCAGACGACCATTCCTCTCCAATACCACATCTGCAACGTTCTGCGACTGTGTCTTCTGATCTGCGCTCTATACATACCACCACATCATCTGTTCGCAGCTACCTAAAAAGACTAAAAAGCAACAAAAGCCCTGGTCCTGATGCCCTACCAAATGAAGTTCTCAAAGTTCTGGCTCCATCTCTGGCGTACCCACTGTGCCTTATATTCAACCTTTCCTACTCCTCCGGCGTATTTCCTGATCGTTGGAAGATCGCTAAGGTCACGCCCATCTACAAGTGTAAAGGCTCCAGATCACAAGCCTCAAACTATCGTCCAATATCTCTTCTCTGCTCCCTTTCAAAAGTATGTAAAAAGATATTTTACGACCAGTTGTATTGCCACATTTCACCATGCCTTAGCCCTTCCCAATCTGGCTTTCGCCGCAACGACTCAACCTCTGACCAACTAGCTCGTCTAGTACACGACATTGCCACCCTTCGTGATGCTCGACACCATATTGCTCTCTGTTTCTTTGACTTGGCAAAGGCCTTTGATACTGTCTGGCATCGTGGCCTCCTTGCCAAGCTACATAATTATTGTCTTTGGTGTGT